TAGAGTGAAGTTTCAATGAATGTCAATGGACGGGGTTAGTTGCAAACAAATGATTATATTGTGAAAACTATCAGGACTATGGCTTAGCCGTTGACATGTTTAGTGGCAGGAGGGATAGCTGAACGTTTTGATATAAGATTTGTGTAGGTGGGCCTGAAAATAAGGGAGTGGTGACAGTTTAGAAATCATGTCCTGATTTTTCAGCTTTTGCCAGCTCCCACTCTAGCTTTGCCATTCATTCCTATGGGACAAATTTCGCCACAAGAACGACGATATTCCGTGAACCATTCGGCGAAACGTTCCACAAAGTAATAGCAATCCGATCGGGAGACAATCTGCGTTTTGGTAGAATTTTGGTCTATGTGGTCTCAAAAACTGTGGGAGGAGTTAGAGATTGTAAATTGGCTATAATAAGAATAAGACTAGAAAGTTACAATTTCAGGGGAAATTGTGTGAAGTGTTCTTGCCTCCACCTGTAGTCTACAACTGGAGCGGGCGGAGTAACTGTTATCATTTACATAGCACATTTAATTGCAACGTTGTTGCACAGTTACATTAAACCATACATTTATAAAAACATTAGCAGGTGTTCAAGAGGCCCTGTCTATGACAAAGCGTTATTATCTTAAAACTATAACTCTACAGTGAAAGAGCTTTTATATTGTGAGAATCACAAGACCCAGACCTACATTTTGATGTATAGTATGTCTCTGAAGTATTAAAATTGAAGGCACAGTCACAGTTTAGAAATTGCACTTCAAATTTGAGCTTTGCAGAGTGAAGTTTCAATGAAAGTCAATGGACGGCGTTAGTTGCAAACAAATGGTCATATTGTGAAAACTATCAGGACTACGGCTTAGCCGTTGACATGTTTAGTGGCAGTAGGGATAGCTGAATGTTTTGATATCAGATTTGTGTAGGTGGGCCTGAAAATGAGGGAGTGGTGGCAGTTTAGAAATCATGTCCTGATTTTTCAGCTTTTGCTAGCTCCCACTCTAGCTTTGCCATTCATTCCTATGGGACAAATTTCACCACAAGAATGACGATATTCCGTGAACCATTCGGCGAAACGTTCCACAAAGTAATAGCAATCCGATCGGGAACAATCTGCACGTTTTGGTAAATTTTTGTCTATGTAGTGTAAAAACTGTGGGAGGAGTTAGGGTGGCAAATTTTGCTATAATAAGAATAACTAGAAAAGTTACAATTTCTGGGGAAATTGTGTGAAATGTTCTTGCCTCCACCAGTAGTCTACAACTGGAGTGGGCGGAGTAACTGTTATCATTTATATAGCACATTTAATTGCAACGTTGTTGCACAGTTACATTAAACCATACATTTATAAAAGCATTAGCAGGTGTTCAAAAGGCCCTGTCTATGACATCACTTGCTGCTGCAGCCTTGACAGGTCAAAGTATTTTGGTGGTTGCCATCTTCAAACGGTCATATTTTAAAAACTATAAATCCTACAGCGAAGAGCTTTATATTGTGAGAATCACAAGACCCAGACCTACATTTCGATGCATGGTATGTCTCTGAAGTATTAAAATTGAAGGCACAGTCGCAGTTTAGAAATTGCACTTCAAATTTGAGCTTTGTAGAGTGAAGTTTCAATGAATGTCAATGGGCGGCGTTAGTTGCAAACAAATGATTATATTGTGAAAACTATCAGGACTACGGCTTAGCCGTTGACATGTTTAGTGGCAGCAGGGATAGCTGAACGTTTTGATATAAGATTTGTGTAGGTGGGCCTGAAAATAAGGGAGTGGTGGCAGTTTAGAAATCATGTCCTGATTTTTCAGCTTTTGCCAGCTCCCACTCTAGCTTTGCCATTCATTCCTATGGGACAAATTTAGCCACAAGAACGACGATATTCCGTGAACCATTCGGCGAAACGTTCCACAAAGTAATAGCAATCCGATCGGGAACAATCTGCACGTTTTGGTAAATTTTTGTCTATGTAGTGTAAAAGCTGTGGGAGGAGTTAGGGTGGCAAATTTTGCTATAATAATAATAATAATAATATATATGTGAGATAACATTAAGTGGTCTTGCTATGCAAGAACACTTAATAATAATATATATGTGAGATAACATTAAGTGGTCTTGCTATGCAAGAACACTTAACTAGAAAAGCTACAATTTCTGGGGAAATTGTGTGAAGTGTTCTTGCCACCACCAGTAGTCTACAACTGGAGTGGGCGGAGTAACTGTTATCAATTATATAGCACATTCAATTGCAACGTTGTTGCACAGTTACATTAAACCATACATTTATAAAAACATTAGCAGGTGTTCAAAAGGCCCTGTCTATGACATCACTTGCTGCTGCAGCCTGGCACAGGTCAGGGTATTTTGGCGGTTGCCATCTTCAAACGGTCGTATTTTAAAAACTATAAATTCTACAGCGAAGAGCTTTATATTGTGAGAATCACAAGACCCAGACCTACATTTTGATGCATAGTATGTCTCTGAAGTATTAAAAATGAAGGCACAGTCGCAGTTTAGAAATTGCACTTCACATTTGAGCTTTGCAGAGTGAAGTTTCAATGAATGTCAATGGACGGCGTTGGTTGCAAACAAATGGTCATATTGTGAAAACTATCAGGACTACGGCTTAGCCGTTTACATGTTTAGTGGCAGCAGGGATGGCTGAACGGTTTGATATAAGATTTGTGTAGGTGGGCTTGAAAGTGAGGGAGTGGTGGCAGTTTAGAAATCATGTCCTGATTT